GTAGAAACTTTTTTGACAGTTATAGTCGTAATTTCTTATCCTCTTTGTTTTTTGTTGAATATATATCTGTTCAGATTCTTCCACCACCTATTTCAAGGACTGATTTTGATAAGGTGCTTGCGAGGCAGCGGCCAACTGTCAGCAAAGCTGATCTTGAGTTGCATGAGAGATTTACCAAGGAGTTTGGAGAGGAGGGCTAATTGGATTTGGTGAGAAATTCATCATGCCATGTCCAATGATTTAATTGTATATTGCGCCTTTTTTCTAAGATATAATAGAAAAAGGGAAAATCATGTAAGTGCTTCTTGCCAGATTGAATACCTGAGGGGAAACACTGAAACTCGCGTGAGTACTCATAGTGATCGTAATCTGTATTTAATTGAGGTGATTATATAGCATGAAATTTATGACTTCAGAAGCCTATTTTAAAACCGGATTGTTCTTGTCCCATCTTAAATCTTGATTATAGCTATCCATTCCGTTCTTCAGGTTTATTGGCCGTTTATCCTGTAAGACAATTTTGTCCCTATAGTAGACCTTATGATGCAACACTATTATTATGGACTAGTTGGTTTCCTAAATGGACATATTGCAGTTACCAAATATGATTGAAGCTGAGTTATAACTCAAATATCTTATAGGAGTTTTTTCAGAAATCTTTTCAATTGACGCATTGATGACATCACCAGTCTAATTTTTTTTTTGTCGTAAAGGTTCTGTTTAATAGGGCAAATTATTGCATTCGGTCACCGGACGTGAAAATAGGTCCGAATATTAATAAAATATTATTTTAAATTAAGCGCGTCAAAAGCGCAGGTAAAGTGCAGATAAAGCGCAGGAAAACACAGGTAAAACGCAGTCAAAAGCGCAGTCAAAGCGCAGCCAAAAACGTAGGTGACATGGCATATTTTTATTGGATGTCCGAACCTATTCCGTGCGTCCGGTGACCGGATGCAATAATTTGCCGTTTAGTAGGTTCTGTTTAATAGAGATTGTATGACTGCATGGGCTGTTTCATGCCTCTATTAATGCTAATATTTTATTGAACTAGCCCTCCATTTCCTTGGAAACATTTTGGTTCGCAGGAGATTTACTGTTATTGTATTGTCTTTATGTATAAAATAAGCAGTCAAGGTTTACAAGGTTTACATTGCAAAACTATCGACAAACTCTGTTCTAAGCTTCTCTTTCATGTATACATTTCGGGAAAGAAGCTACATACCATTGCCTGGAAGAAAACTTGTCTCCCTACTGAGGTTGGGGGGCTGGGCATCCCTGACATTCAATCACTTTCTTTCTTTTCCTTTTAATTGCACTTTCATTTGGAGGTTTTTCACCACTAACTCCTTGGTAGCTGACTGGTTTAGATTAAACCATTCCATCTCCTTGGAAGCCCTCTTAGCCCTCTTCTGCTAAAGCCTCCAAATTTTGGAAAAATATTTGTCACACTGCGGCCAGTCTCAAACAGAAAATTAAATTTCACGTTTCTCGTCTCAACTGCAACCTGGATATGTTTTGGGATCCCTGGATAAATGGCTTGGCTGCTTTTGATTTAATGCCACCGTATTTTAATGGGTCTTTTCTGATACAAAACTATATTCTGGATGGTCATTGGGCCATTCCTTGCTCTATGCACACTGGAATTTCTCAAATTATCTTCTATCTCTATATTAGACCGTCAGATGGATTGTATTGAATGGATTGGGGAAGGCAAACCTTGTTTTAAATCCTTCAGGAATTTTTTCTTTTGTGAGCATCCCAAGGTAAATTGGGCCAAGTTTGTTTGGCATAAGCGTTCGGCTCTTAGATATTATTCTTATGTGTGGCTGGCCGTCAACGATGGGTTAAAATCTGCTGAGGTTCTGAGATTGAGGAATATTCAAATTAATAGCATTTGCCACTTATGCTGGATGGAGGAGGAATCTATTTCCCACATGTTTTTTCTCTGTGATTTCTTTTTTGGGGTTTTATCTGCTCTTCTTACCCCCCTAGTCTGTTTCTATTTCAGGCCTTCTTCGCTTCAAAGTTTTGAATTTTTTGAAGATATGCAACATATAGATAGGCAAGAAAAAAAATTTTGTTTTCTTGTTATTTGCTATTCTGTTTACTTCCTTTGGCGCGAAAGAAATGTTAGAAGATTTGAAGGGAATTCAGAAGACCGCAATTACATATGTAACAAGATATCTCATGCGATTACTGCTTAAGACGAAAGGCTGGAAGGGTTTTGAGAAGCTGCAACTCAAATATCCTAATTGCTTCCTCCTGCAACACCGTTTTTGATCAGATGGTTTTTCTGGGCGATGATGTCAGGAACCGGTTTCTCAGTCCCTTTGCCCCTGGAAGGCCAGGGCATTTTCAGTCCCTTTTTCTGCATTTGGTATGGCATTTGCTGCAACCTGCAACTCGTTTGGATCTGCTCTCTTGGCAACCGGGGCATGTCCGTTTCTCGTTGATCATTATGGGCTCTGAGCATTTTTGTTTTCATGCTGTAATGCCTATTGGTCCGGTTCCTTCTTCCCTGAGCCCGCCTGTGGGTCTTTTAAGTTCTTCTTTTTGTGATGTTTTTTGTGGGTTTGTGCATACCCTTTGGTTTTCTTTTGGTTTACAGGTTTTTGACTTACTGTTGTAACCGTCCCCATTGGATTAAATTTACGGGCTAAGCCCCAAATTTTCCCAAAAAAAAAAAAATAGATCGTTAGGTTTTCAATAGATTATTCAGAATGTAATTGATATTTTATTGAGGTCTTAATGATTTGGCTTGTTATTGTAGTTTGTATATTTTTTCAAAGTCTTAGTAGGTCTCATATCAATGCTCATTATATTTTTGCTTGCAGATTTCTTTTTAAATTTTGGATGAAAAATATTTGTTCCTTTAAAATATTTGTCATATTTTTTCATGCTTACAAACTTTTAGTAAATTAAGATAATAGTGGTAATATAGAGCATGTAAAATTAAAACAAAGATAATATTAAATTAATAATTTATTCAGCAATATAAAGTGCAAGAAAAGATAATTAACTTCAAATCCCCAACATCAGCACCAAAAACCTGATAGGATTTTCACTTTCACACAATACTTGTCTTTTTAAATATTATTTGTTATGTT